CACAGACAGGGTCTCACTCTGTTGCCCAGGCTGGAATGCAGAAGCCTAATCATAGCTCACTGTACCCTTGAACTTCTGGGTTCATGCTATTTTCCCACCTCAGCCTCCTGAGTAGCCAGGACTGCAGGCGCACTCCATCACACCCGGCTAATTTTTCTTATTTTTTTGTAGAGATGGGGTCTCTTGCTGTATTGCCCAGGCTGGTCTTGAACTCCTTTTCTCAAGTTCTCTTCTTGCTTCGGCCTCCCAAAGTGCTGGGGTTACAGGCATGAGCCACTACACCCAGCCTGTGTGCTTCTTAAATTATTTAAAAGGCTTAATTGATATGGCTGCTATGTAATTATGTATTCAGTGCTTCACAATTTATTAGCAGCAGTCTAGAACAAGAATATCAATACTTACATTCTTTATAAAATCTGTGAATTTTTGGTTCCTGGTTAATTTGATTTTCTTAAAGTTTTTTGTTGGTCATATTAAGGATTAAGTTATATGACAATATTTTAATTGTAGTTCAAATTTTAGCTGTATCAATACTGACATGTACAACTATCTGCTTCAGTGCTTGTTTTCAGTTCTTTTGGATATAAACCTAGGTGTGGAATTGCTGGGTCATATGGTAATTCTATGTTTAACTTTTTGAGGAGCTGCCAAACTGTTTTCCACAGAGACTACATCATTTTATGTTCCCACCAGCAATGTATGAATGTTCCAGTTTCTTCACGTCATTGTCAGCACTTGTTATTTTCCTTTTTTTAAATTTTAAATTATAGCATCCTGGTAGGTGTGAAATGGTATCTCATTGTATTTTTGATTTGTATTTCTTTAATGACTAACGCAGTTGAGCATCTTTCGTGTGCTTATTGGCCTTCTGTGTATCTTTTGCAATTCTTACTATTGTTGTCTGTTAAAGTCCTTTGTCCATTTTTTAAACAGGTTGTTGTTTTTGTTGAGTTATAGTTACAGAATTCTTTATACTGGATATTAAACCCTTATCGATATATGTGATGTAAATATTTTCTCCCATTTTATTGATTTCCTTTTTTACTTTCTTGAAAATGTCCTTTGATACATGAAAGTTTTCAATTTTGATGAAATCTGAAGTCCAGTTTATCTAGTTTTTCTGTTTTTGCTTGTGTTTTTGATGTCACGTCTAAGAAAAGCCATTGCTAAATCCAAGGTCATGGAGATTTATCCTACGTTTTCTTCTAAGAGTTTGATTGTTTCAGGTCTTATGTCTTATACCAATTTGACCACTTACTAGTTTTCTTTTTTGCCTTTCTACTGAGTTTGGATGCCAGCATTTGGTATATTTGATTTCTCTTTAAATCAAATGGTCTTTTGGATTTAATGTGATTAAAAAATGTAATATAGTAAGAATTAATATTTTGTCACAAATTATTGATTTTAAATTAACATAATAGGTTAACTGTTTTCTTAATTATTTATTATCCTTTGAAATATTCCTATCGCTCATGTTTTGTTTAAACCAGTAAGTCTTATACTATTGTTGTATATAAGAATACTTTGTTTTTTGTTAGAATATACGTGAAAAGCTACGATAAACTTTTGGCAAATAAATTGTTTAATTGTATGTCGGAAGCTTTTTTGGTCAAGAAATATATCTTCAAAATATTTTATAAATCACTCTCTTAGAGTAAATTCGATCTTCAAAAATCAGGTTTGTTTGATGGAAAGTGTGTATGTATTATTTACTTCAAGCGGATAGAGATTGATCTTTTCAATGTTCATGCTCTCAGTGTGTACCTACATTCCTGAAACCTATGCAGATCCCACTAATGTGTGTTTTTCCTTTCTAAAATTGAAAGCAGTCAGTGTTTCTTGACTTAAACATTGTGAAAAGAACTTAGAATATAGATGGAGATAACTTAGATTGAGTTCATGTTCTACTGTTATTAGCTATATAATTTTAGTCAATTTACTTAATCACTTTTATTTTTCAGTTTACCCTTCTATGAAAAGAACATAATAGAATTTGTCATGCCCAAATCTAAATGTGTTAATAAGAAACAAAAAATGTGAAATAGATTCTAGAGAGTGATTCTTCCTTCACTCTACTGGTTGGCATTCATTCAGGAAAATAGAAACCGCATAGGATATTTCTGACAGAAAGGTTTTAATACATCCGAGCACTCTGGGAGGCCTTGAGGCAGGAGGATCACCTGAGGTCAGGAGTTCAAGACCAGCCTGAGCAAGAGTGAGACCCCGTCTCTACAAAAAAAAAAAAAATTTAAAAAAGCTACCCCGAAATTGGTAAGCTGGGAAGTAACTATTGCCCTTAGGGCGGGAGGAAGAAAAGTGAAAGTGGTATTACCTAGAGCTCCTAAGTACTGCACTGTTGAGGACATTGCCATTGTTACCTAGCCAGGAAGCCAGGTGCTTGTGTCCTTGTTGCTGCTGCCTGATCTGAGGAGCCCACAGTCCCACTGACACTGCCGGATTGGCCACCGATGATGCTGAAAATTGGAGAGGTCACAGTTGCTCACTAAGGCTGTATCAAAACAGAAGCAGAAAGTGGAAGTGGCTTCTCCTTTTCTCCTACCTCTTTTTTTTTTTTTTTTTTAAACACAGACAGGGTCTCACTCTGTTGCCCAGGCTGGAATGCAGAAGCCTAATCATAGCTCACTGTACCCTTGAACTTCTGGGTTCATGCTATTTTCCCACCTCAGCCTCCTGAGTAGCCAGGACTGCAGGCGCACTCCATCACACCCGGCTAATTTTTCTTATTTTTTTGTAGAGATGGGGTCTCTTGCTGTATTGCCCAGGCTGGTCTTCGAACTCCTGAGCTCAAACAATCCGCCCGCCTTGGCCTCCCAGAGTGCTAGGATTACAGGAGTGAGCCACCACGCCCGGCCTCTCCTACCTCTTAATTTGACATCATCTTCCACTGGTAGACCCTAACCTCTTAGCTTGCAGAGGGGTCTGGGAAATATAGTACTTTGCAGGCTTCTCGTCCTGGGCAGTAAAGAGACTGTGGAAGGATGAGTGTGTGGATGAGAGCCAACAGGCAGGCAACAAGCATGCCAACCGCGAAGGCTATAATTTTGAAAATATTTTTTGGCAGGGAAATTATCGTGCAACTTAATTTTTATCCTTACAGCTTTTTTTGTATGATGCTTCTCTTTTCCATATACACAATGTTCAACAAATTAGCAGAATATACCCTAAATCCAACTATCAATAGTTTCTCTGCCCCCTCCAAGTCTAAACTCCCACCGCCTCTTTTTTAGGCTTCTTTCTACAATAGCCTCCCAGCTTGTGCCTCTGCCTCTCTTCTTTGCCTTCTACAATGAATTCTGAAGACAGCAGCCAGAATGAACTTTTGAAAATATAAACTAGGCCAGGTGCAGTGGCTCACTCTGGGAGGCCGAGGCAGGAGGATTGCTTGAGGTCAGGAGTTCGAGACCAGTCAGAGCAAGAGCAAGAGCAAGACCCCATCTCTACCAAAAATAGAAAAATGTTAGCTGGGTGTGGTGGCACACACTTGTGCGCATTGGTAGTCCCAGCTACTTGGGAGGCTGAGGGAGGAGGATCACTTGAGTCTGGGAGTTTGAGGTTGCAGGGAGGTGTAGTGAGGCCACTACACTCTATTCAGGGTGACAGAGTGATTTTTTAATATATGTGAAAAATTAATTCACAGCAGTCCCCTGCTGCAGTGGCTCCCTGTCACACTCAGAATAATGTCCTAACCAAGGCCTGCCAAGGCCATTATGATTAGGCTCCTGCTCATACTCCCAGGTCTTGTCTTTATTCTGCCTGGCTGTAGCCATTTAGATTTTTTGTTCTTTGAACATACTGAAATGATTCTCATTTCAGGGCTTTGTGCTTATTTCTGTTCTGCGTGGAATGTTCTTACTTCACATCTCCGTGTGGCTAGTTTCCTCACAGTGTTCCTTCTTCCTTACTTTCTTCAGGTTACTACCTGTCAGAGAGTCCTTCCTTATACACCCTATTGTTACTTTCTGTCACTTTACCTTGCCTTTACATACACATACACACAGAGATTATATATACATGTATGCACACATGTACACATACACGATATGTTTTCAAATATATGTACTTATTTTATTATCTAAGTTCCATGACTCCAGGTACTTTGTTATGTTCATCTCAGCACCTAGAATAGTACTTGGTAGAAAGGAAGTTTCTCATGGCAGGTTTAATGTGAGGTTATAGACTCAAGAACACTCTTAAATGTTTTTTCACTTTTTGTTTTTTTTAGAGACAGGGTCTTGCTATGTCGCCGAAGCTGAAGTGGGCAGTTGTTATTCTCAGATGCAGTCATACTGCACTACAGCCTCAAACTCCTGGGCCGAAGTGATCCCTGCACCCCTCAGGCTCCCAAGTAGCTAGGATTACAGGCTCTGGCCTGGCTTATTTTTAAAATTTTTTGTAGAGACAGGGTCTTGCTATGTTGTCCAGGCTGGGCTTGAACTCCTGGGCTCAAGCAGTCTTCCCACCTCAGGCTCCCAAAGTGCTGGATTACAGGTATGAACCACTGCGCCCAGCCCTAGATAACATTTAATTATAAAAAAATCCTGAAATTATAAATCATTATTTATTATAAGATTTAAATATGATCTCAAAGCCATTTGTTAAAATACGGGAAAAGCCTAATTATATAAAATGCTTTGTTTTAGTAGCATTCTCTACAATGGGATTTTAATTACATAGCACTCCAGTATAAAGGAGACTTAAGAAAAACTGCTTTCTAAAAAGTAATAAATAGTGGAACCTGCTTTACATTCTGTATCAGAGATCATAACACTTGGGTTTTGGCATTATCAGTTTTTGTTAGGATAAAAGTCTTGATATTCTAGAGATGTCATTTATGAATCACTTTGTGAGCTTAAATAAGTATTTGAAAATAATAGAACCATTTGTGTTGTTAGTCAAGTAAAGATTCAACATACATTGGGGTTAGATTATCAGCCATTAAAATAAATAATTTGGATTATCTTGTGATTTATTTCTTCTGTAACAATGGATAGAACTGTTTTTTATTCTCTCTTTTAGAATGAGAATTTCCCGGGGGTGCTCTTTAACTCATATGTCTTTATAAGGTTGGAACACATGACTTTTCCAGAATATTAGAATAGATTTGGTGTGAAGACTTAGCTAGTTTTCCTGGAACTTAGAGGTTTTGCTGACTTCACTGATGACTCTTTTAGATTCTAATTTGCTGTTGGTATAGGAATTTAAAATATTTATTGATTACCTTTTCTAAATGTAGCTTTAAAATTGATTTCCTATATAAATTCTATGAAAATGTGTGACTCTTTTTTTAAGTTTGAGTTTCTAAATTAGAGCTGTACACTCATTCACTCAACAGATGGTTTTAGATAATGAAAATACAGTAGTTTTAGTGTTTCCCAACTTTTTTCAGCTCATGGCACAGATTGAAACTGGTGGCCATATTTGTATGGGACACTGGAGAAAACTGCAGGGGGACCTGAGGGTGCTGGTGAAAAATTTTTGTATCTTTTTAGAAGAATTGTGTCTTAGGCCGGGCGTGGTGGCTCACGCCTGTAATCCTAGCACTCTGGGAGGCCGAGGCGTGTGGATCGCTCAAGGTCAGGAGTTCGAGACCAGCCTGAGCAAGAGCAAGACCCCGTCTCTACTAAAAGTAGAAATTAT